TTTAACAACATATTTTTTGTCTTGAAAAAATATTTTTGAAAGTGCAGCTAAGAAAAGTGCTTTAAAAACTAAAAAAGAAAAAAGCTTAAAATATAATTAATTAATAATAAATGTGTTTTCATAGTGTTATAATTAACAACCTATTAAGTTAATGCATATAGAAAAAAATTGATAATTTTACAAATTGTGAGTTATAATAATGAAAACCTTTAACTTTAGTGCAATAATAATTAAAAAAAAATCATTGTAAGCTTAAATTTTATATGAAGCAAATTTGTTCTCAGATCAAAATCAGCTTAAAAAACTTAGCTTCAATTTAAAAAAAAAAAAATTAGGTCAGAAGTCTGGATTAAAATAAGGCCTTATACATAAGCTTAATTCATTAAAAAAACTAATTTGATATTCTCCATTGCTTTGCTTTGATGTTAACCTTTCAATATTATTATTTTTTAGTTGGGATATATGATTTTACATAAATAAACATATATCTAATGTAATAGAATGCTAGAATTTGATATTTTCATCTAATTTATAGATTAATTTAGCAAATTGGCTTATTATTCTCATATAATACATATACCAATAATTTAAATATTTTTTTTATTTTATTAAAGTACAAAAAATTCATTAATTTTAAACTTTAAGTAACACTCACATTTATTAGAAATTACTCCTAAATATTTCTTATTTTTAATATATAAGTTAACAAATTTAATTATTGACCTTTTCATTTTTTTCATATCATAAATATATTATTATTCAATATGCAACTCGATTAAGTTTGAATTTATATAACATTAATGTTAAAGTAAATATAAAATTTTTCAAGCACATATTGATTTAATTTTTATTAAGATATGCTGGTATAATTTTTTTCCCGCTGTCTCCCTTTTCAAAAGAAAAAATATTATGTGCGGAATCCACATCACACTTTTCATGTGAAAGGCTTATAATAGGTAGATGATGTACAATGATAATTCTAGCAAGCTTGTCTCAATTCCAAGGATTAAATAAGATTTTTGAAAATTTTCCATCAAATATTGTAGTTAATGCAAGAATCCAATTCAAATCATAAACCCTAATTTCAAAAATAATTTTCTAAAAATCTTAGAACTATGAATTCCGAAATCACTGAAGTTTTCTTTAACAAAATGGCATAAACAAAGATCAATACAATTATGACTGAATATTTTAATTTTTTTTTAATGAATATCTCTCCTTTTTTTTGGTTAAAACACACCTTAATTATAAAAGATAGGTACAAGTCTTTAAAGGAACAAAAGCTTACATTTATACAACATTTGAAGCAGAACCTAAGAGCAAATGATCATATCTATTACAAAAAGCAATAGAAAAAGAGGAAAAAAAAGGGAGGCCAGAAGCCAACCCTAAAAAAGAAGTTTAAAACTAGATGTACAATGGAGCACCAAAAATCAACCAGGAAAAGGATCTAACAAGGGAAAAGAGAAGCCCATAAAGAACCACCCACCAGCATTATCAGCAACTCAAAGTATTCTTCTTATTTTTCTTTCCTAACTCCATAGAGAATCCAAATCTATCAATTTTCACCACATTCAAATCAAAATCCTCTAAAGACACATTAGGACAACTCCTATAGGGATCACCATCACAACACATATGACCCAATAAATCCTCCATCCAATTGGAGTGATCTATAGGGTCATCAAAATGCTCCAAATTAACACACGAAACATCGTGCATCGGAGAAACATGTAAATCAATAATAGAGGTTCAATTAGCAACATCCAGCCCATCAAAAGAAATATTACTATAAGTCATATATATGTTTAGATGTAAAAGGCACGATATTGTCCACGTCAACACATCCATCAACTAGCTTACTAATATCATTAGAAGAAGAGACTAATTGCTTACCAAAAATATCAGACATAGATCCTGATTTTTCCAAATTGTTACCCCGACTTTCCAAGAAATTGAAAGAATTAGAAATAGGAGTAACCATAGGAGAGTCAACCTTATTATTAACACACATGCCTTCAATTAACGGTATAGTAGGAGAGGCCAATAACTCGTTTCCTAAAGCACATTATCAAGCACCACATTATGATCATTCAAAGCAATATTATCAGAATTTTTCATGATAATAGGGTCATTATCAGCAGATACTGGAATCGATTTAGGAACAACATATTTCCTCAAATGAGGATGTAAAATTAAACATTAAATATTTTGTAGGCTTTGTTTATGACAGTTTTCTTACTGCTTTCTAAAGCAGTTTCTAGTATAAAAATATATTGGAAGTAACGAAAAAAATAGTGGCCAAAATCTATCCCAAACGAAGCCTTAATCTTCCATCAATAATCTTCTCCTTAATCCTATAATTTTTAATAAGAGATACTGTTAGTTTATAAATATTTCTCTAATAATATTTTTTCTTATAATTATTTTTTAAATTTTTATGAATGGTTTGAAATAATAATTTCTCATCTCAAAAAATCTTTGTTTCTGAATAGGATGGTTCAAATAAAATGGGGAAAAAATAGAGAACTATATTCTAGTTTTGAGCTCCTAATCAAACTCTATCAATATTAAAAAGGATTAATGGTATAATTTTACTAATAATGAGTACAATTAGAGTGTGATTAGGAAGCTCATTGGTTGAATATTTTATCAAAATTCACCCCCTTTTAATCCATAGAAATGCATGGCATGGATGCAAATATGAAGAATCACAAGGGCCTTTAGATAAAGATGATTTAGATATTTTCAGGCATTGATTCAGGCACTATTTCAGTACTTTTTTGAACTATTTTTTAAATAAATTCTCATAAAAAGAGAAATATTACCTTTTTGATTTATTATTTAAGTCTATATTTATATTTTTTATGAAAAAAATAATAATAATAGTAATTTTTTTAATAGAAAGATTTCATTTTATAATAACAAGAAAATGATTTTCACTGTAATCTTATGGTAATAAGATCTTACTAGAAAATAATCAAATTGAATTAGCAAAAATAAAGAAAATGAGATGAATCGAAAATAAATATCTTATAGAAAAAGCACTAATTTGTAATTTTTAGAAGTGATATGGCATAAAAAAAGGCCCATGCAATAATCTTAAATAAATTCTCTTAATAAAGTTGGCTCAAATTGTATGCATATTTTTTAATATATAATATATCATTTATGATCTATTTGTCACGAGTATAATTTTTTTAAAGATGATTGTATATATATATATATACTTATTGCTATATTTATTATTTTTTTTTTGCCTTAAAAGATCAAGCTCATTTTAGCTTGGTTGCATTGGCTACCCAATAAGTTAAGGGGTTGTTTAGTTACTTGTATTTGAATTTTTGATATATTTAAATATATAAAGTGATTGATTTAGATCTGATCGTGATAATATGAAAATAGTGTTTGAGGGGACTTATCAATATTTTGATAGAACATCAAATATAGAAAGGAAAATAAAAAGAGATAATTCTAAAGAGCGAAACGATGAGAAATTTAAATGTTCAAAATGAACATTTGTGTAATATGTCCATTTGACCTAATATTTATTGAATTTTGGCAAGAAGCTATATTATGACCTCACAAATAAATAAATAAAATTACATGATAAGATAATTATAGATATGTGGAATTTGTGGTTAGAGCTCGAATATGTATACGAGGATTAGGAGTTACTGAGTGCGTGTAAAAAGCTCCGCACACAATTGGTTTTAGAAGTTGATGATCGGTTAAGTGTGGTCACAATCTTCAAAAGAGAGGTCACAACCTTCAAAAGAGAATGCCAACTTGCTGATGAAGTTCCTAACCCTGCATGCCATGTGCGAGTGGCTCATTAGGCTCAGGTGATTGGCCTCTCGAGTTGTGTTGAGTGAATACATAAACTTTGACTGGTGACCCCTCAATGAACTCATCGGGCTTAGGCCAGTGGTTCCTATAATCGAGGCGAGTGACTTCATAGGCTTTGGAGAGTGACCCCTCTAGATGGCGCAAGTGGCTCCTCTGGTTAGGTTGAGTGGCTCCTCATATTTAGGCAAGTGACCCCCTTGATTGGGGTGAGTTTCAATTGATCATTGTTGATTGATCAAATTCCTCAATGAGTCCATTATTAGCTTGCTTCAAGAAGAGTTGATTTGGATTGAGCCAAGCATTGAGCGACTTTGGATAAGCATATTGTAAAGTAAAACCATATGTTTGAAATATTCGTAAAAGAAATCTAGGAGTTTAATTTTTGTAGTTGTTTGCAAGTTGCCAAGTGGCTTGAAGCCTATTTGGTTACAAAAGTAAAAGAAAGATACACTGAGAGAAACAAAGCTTGTGGGGAAAAAACTTCTACTTACCAAATACAAAAGGGGAAGGGATACAACTTGATAAGCACCCCAAATCAAGCCGCAGACATAAACATAATGAAAGAAACCCCTCAAGTGAGAAAGGATGACCCCTTCATTGATTTGTATTACGCAACAAAACCCAATACAAACCAATGAAAATAGGTCACTCATTAAGCACTTGAGGGGACCAAGTCCCCCGCCTGTGAAATCTATTGAAGTATTCTTCCTCTTCCTAGGGGAGGTGGCCAAAGCACTTAAAGGTCCAAGTCGTAGGAGCTAGCTATCCAATCGATACTTGAACACTCTTGGTTGTTGCTTGCGAAAGTTCACAATCTTATTAGAAGTTTCTTCCATTTGCTTTTACTCAGTTTTTTCAATCAAACATCTGAATTTTCAAAACCTTTGTATTTAAGGATTATAAAAAATCAAATCAATTATAGGCAAACTAAAAAATAAATTCATGTGACATATGTTGATCTATTAGTAGCATAGGTTGAACTTATTATTTCAAAATTCGTTATTTATACGTATTGAATACGTATTTGAATTTTTTTTATAAATTATAATTTATTTATTATATAGTGTCGGTGCATTATAACTCTTATATAAAATATGAAAAATATAAAGTGGACCTAACTTTAAAGGTTGTGAAAATAACACTTCTCCTCTTTCAAAAAAGAAAACAGAGTTAGGAACACAGACGAAACACAGGAAGAACAGAGTAGAACGGAGAGAGAGAGAGAGAGTGCGACAGAGAGGAGACATAGAGGAAAGAGAAGGCTTCGTCTTATCCATATCTCACTTCCTCTCTTTCTCTCACTTACTGTCCACCATCTTCACCAATTTCAAAGCTCCATTAGCCAATCACCTGATTCTTCAGTTTAATAATTCAACAACCTTTTCCTTCCCCAACTCTTTCTTCCTCTCTCTCTCTCCTCTTCTCTGTTCTGCTTTTCTGTAGATAAGGTTGCAGTTTTGCAGAGATATTTCCACTCCACTGTCTCTGTTTTTCCACCCTAAAATAATAAAAAGCCCTCCTTTGCACGTCTGCTGTAATAAATCCCCATGCGTTGGGAGCTACTCAGCAGAATTATCCATTCGATCATTCAATTTTCGATATTGTTCAACTCCTCTTCTTCATGGAAGAAGAATTTGATGAAGAGGAGATTTGGGCTATGGTGAGAGAGACAAAAGATGATTCCTTGAAGACCAGAAAGCTCAAAGATGGCTCCTTTTTCTCTTCCATGAAAGCCTCCTCTGCATCCAGGTACTCCAAAGTAATAAACTTTTTCTCTTATAATCGTAGTTACCAATAAAAACAAATCACAGGAAGATACCGAGATCAAATAATACAGTTGGTGAAGACAACAGCAGTAGTACAGCACTGATTCGGCAATCTGCACCTGTTACAATTCCCAACTGGTCTAAAATCTTCAAAAGAAGCGAAACAGAAGATGAAGAAGAAGATGAGGAAGAAGACAGAGTTCCTCCTCATGAGTGGATTGCGAAGAAGCTGGAGAGGAATCAAATCTCCTCTTTCTCTGTTTGTGAAGGGGAAGGAAGAACACTTAAAGGCAGGGATCAACGTAAAGTCAGGAATGCAGTTCTTACCAGAACTGGATTCTTAGAGTAAAGCTTTTCATTAGCAGTATTAATGGCGACTTTTGTTGCATGTTTTTTTTTGCTGTAAATTATTGTCTTTTGTTCTGTGATCTAAGTTTTTTTTCTCTGATTTCTTCGTTTCCAGGCAGGGGTGAGATGATTTTGTTCGGGTAATTTGGCTTAATATAACGGATTAGTGTGTTAATTAATCGATTGGAATCCTAACAGTTTTGAATGATTTCTATTTTATTTCTGAAACTGTGAGTTTTCTCGGCTCCTCTGCTACCATCTTCATCATTTTCTACTCTTTTTTTTTTGTAAGGACTCGGTTAGCGTTTTTTAGATGAAAAAAAAAAAAGGTTTGAGAAAGCGATATTTTATTTTAATCTATTTTGAGTTTGAAAATGAAATAATTATTTTTAATAATTTTTTTAGTTTTATTTTAATGTATTATGATACCGAAAATTTTGCCAAAAAAAAAAAATAATTTGCCATTGTTTGATTAATGCTTCATTTGACAACTTTCTTTTTCTTTATAAAGCTGTGAGAAAGTAAATTTTTGAAGTGACAAAAGGAGAAAGATTGGGAACCCTTCATCCCTGCAAGTTTTATTTGGTTCGGTCAACCGAATGAGAGAAACATTCGGTCGCAGGCAAAAAACTCGGTACACCTCGGTACCGCGCGATTTTTGCCTGAATGTTTCTCTACATTCGGTCGGAGGACGTAATAATTGTTCCCATCCCTGCCCGGTTCCTCCCGAGAGGCAGTCTTTTATGTGGGTTCCAATTAAGTGTTGGTCAGGGGTTTTTTTAGGGTGGGTGCCTCTTTTAGGTGAGCAAAGAATTAGTCACACCGTCAAACGTAACATCCGGTCAAAAATCGAACGGTCCGAATGTATACCGAGCAATACCGAGTCTAAAATACCGAGTTTTACGTGACATGGCTCGTGGTTATTGGTCTCTGAATGCATTCGGACACCGGATATAATAATTGCTCTCTTTTGGGGGTGGTAGCCTGTGGATTTCCCATTCCTAAAAAAAAGTAACGAAAGAAAAAAATGACTAAAATAAAAATTATGATTATGATCTTCAAAGCAAAATAATAAAGAAATTGTCTCAAATGAAGTTTAAAAAGTTTTTTTTTCATTGACAACTTCATAATCTAAACATGAAAAGGATTAGGGAGCTAATTACTTGATTAAGTTCTTATTAGTGTTAAAAAAGAGAGATTTTTTAATCATCAAAAAACTTATGGTGACTTATAAGATCTCTTATTTACTCTATTTTCCTCTTTCTAATGCTCATTTATTTCACCTTTTTGTCTCATTTTATAATATTAGAAATCATCTAGAAATAGCTGCAATTAATCAATTCATAAAACATACTTATTTGATAAAAAAACTATTTTTAGCTTAAAAAATTTATATTATTTATAATAAATTTATGAGTATGAAAAGCCTAATTAAATGCCCTCTAACATCAATTGATTTGAAGAGAAGAAAAGGAAAGGAAAGGAAAGTGATTTGAAAATATAGAAAATGTGGTGGTTGGATGTGCTAATCATATTTGGTAGTTTTAATGGCACATTGATTGCATTTTACACCTCAATTAAGTGCAATTACATGAGCCAATTTGGGCCCACATTAGAAGTATTAATGCAATACAATGATGAAGGTGAGTGTTTTCAATTTGTCAAATTTGATGAATTTTATATTACCTAAGGGTGCATATTGAAATTATTCAAATTGCATGTTTGATTGATTTTGATTTGAATGCTAGGGTTTAGGAATTCTTGGGTGGGGCCATTTTGTGGTGTGGTTAAGATGATAAGATAAGATTAATGATGATGATATTGACTTAGGATAAAGTTAATTATGTTTTGTTTTTCTTTTAATAGTCATTATTGGAGTGATTAAATCTTGGCTTATTTAATTAGTTTTTATTTATTTATTTAGGTGTCTAGGATAAGTAATTTAATTTATTAAAAATGGATTAGTTTTCATTTAGGGATGTTTTATGTAAAGGTGTCAAAAAATTACTTGAACCGCTTAACCAACCTGAACCCGACCCAAAAAAAAAATTGGTTTGGATTGACCTATTAATAAATGGGTTGGTGCTTGTCCGAAATTTTGATTCATTGTTTAAATAAACTGGGTTTGAGTTGATCCAGAAACCCAATTTTGACCAGTTTAATAGTTTTTTCCTTAAATTCTTTTACTTATTGCTACGATCTTCTTATTTTTTATCATTTAACATAACTCTGTTATTAACAAGTTATAAAAAAAAAATTAATCAAAATAGGTTATCAGGTCGAGTTCAAGTTATTCTATTTGCCAGTAGGCTAGGATCAGATTCACCTTCTTAATCGATTTATTAAATGTGTCGAGCATGGATTAGCTAGATTTGGGTCGAGTCAACTTTTAGTTGGACCTGAAATCCAACTCGTTAACTTATTTTGACACCCCCTAATTTTATGATATGTTAACTCAACAAAGAGTTAACATATGTACCTATTTGATTTCTGGTTGAATCAATTATGTTAATTAATTAATTATATCTTTGTAATATACAATACACATTAATGACATTTATGTTACTATACACAATGTTTTCAAGCAATTTGTTTTTTTTTAATACTTTTGATCAAAAGAATGGGCCTTGTAGCTAATGGGCTAAATGGATAGTAATTCCTCGTTTTGTCTCTCAGTACGGCCCAAATCTCCTCTAAGGAATCATCTTTGGGCTCTCTCACCATAGCCAGAATCTCCTCTTGATCAAATTCTTCTTCCATGAAGAAGAGAAGGAGAACAAAATTGAATGATCGAATGGATAATTCATGGGGATTTATTACAGCAGAGGTACAAAGGAGGGATTTTTATTATTATAGGGTGGAAATACAGAGATATCTCTGTACGAATGCAACCTTATGTATAGAAAACGAGAATAGATCGAGGAGAGGAGAGAGGAAGAAGAGTTGGGGAAGGAAAAGGTTGTTGAATTATTAAACCGAAGATTCAGGTGATTGGTTAACGGAGCTTTGAAATTGGTGAAGATGGTAGATAGTAAGTGAGAGGAGAGAGAGAGGAAGTGAGATATGGATAAGAAGAAGCCTTCTCTTTCCTATATATTTCTTCTCTCTCTCACTCTCACTCTCACTCTCTCTCTCTCACTCTCTCGAACTAAGGTGGAGATTTTTTTTTTTTTTTTGCACATTTGTATGTTAGTTTTTTTTTTTTTTTTATTGTTGTCCCTTTAGATCATTTGCGTGTAAAAAGAAATGGTTGTTAAAATCGGGTTTTGGGTTGAGTTCGAATCAAAATTGAAATTGATCTGGCACTATTTGATCTAACCTGATTCCGACCCGTTTTTTAAAAACATGTTAGATTCTTAGACCCAAACCTGACTTGCCTGGGGCCCGGGTCAACCCGACACGACATGATTTACACAGCCTCACGCAATTTGGGAAGAGGACCTGGGAAGAGGACCTTATAACTTCCTCCGACAACACCGCTGTTCGCCTCGTCCACCCCCTCAAGGATGCGGCACATTTCACCATCGTCCTTCACATTCCTCAAATGCCTAAATCAGGTTCTCATCCCTCAACCTAACTCCAAGATCAAACGAAAAACATTGAAATCAAAACCAAAACTAATTACATTCCAAAATTATAAATCGCTTTTCAAAATCGAGCAGATATCTCCCCTTCTAATCTTACATATGTGTGTGAAGTTAGGGGTGTCAATATTTGACACAACCCGAAAATCCGATTCGAACCTAAACCTTAAAAATTTCAGGTTAATGTCAACTCGTTTGAAAAAAGGGTTGAATTTGGAATTCTGACCCGTTTGTAAAATTAGGTTGATTCGGGTTGACCCGAAAACCCAAAGCCAACCCGGGTTAACCTGCCGTTCCTCTTATCCCGCATTCAACGTTGCAGTTCAACGATTCCACTTGCATCCTTCTCTTCCTTTTTAGGATGCTTCACACAACACATGTAATGATGTAAGATTGGAAGGGGAGATATCTACTTGATTTTGAAAGAGATTTATAATTTTGGAATGTAATTAGTTTTGGTTTTTGAATTCGATGTTTTTCGTTTGATCTTGTAGTTAGGTCGAGGGATGGGAATCTGATTTGGGCATTTGAGGAATGTGAAGCGCATTGACACCAAAGCTGAGTTGTTTTTGACACCACTGCAAATGTAAGTGTAGAAAATAAAAACTTCAAAATTTTTATGTGTATTATTCTTATAAAGTAATTTCTCTCTCTCTCTCTCTCTCTCTCTCTCTCTCTCTCTCTCTCCTTCCACAATCTCCATTTTGTTATCCAATAAAAAAATGGTGGATCTCTTTTATTTCTTCTTCAATGATCAAAATGATTGACCTCCATGTTCCACCATGGCCATGGGGATGTGTGGGGCTAGGGAATATTAATGACTAGCCAATACGACTATTCAATCGAAACCAATTAGATGGACATGCCGATCTAATTTAAGAACCGACTTTTATTAAATCGGGCTAAACTAACAAGAACCACTAGTTCAACTGGTGAATCAATATTGATTTTCTAAAGCCAACCGGTTCAAAGTTTTTGTTTAAATAATTAAACAAGTTAATTTCATATTCAATATAATATTAAACATAATAAATTAATCTAAATATAATATAAAAAAAATTAAATGAGTATAAGAAATACATATAATTAAAAGTCATTAAAGAATAGCATTCAAATATTCTCATATGAGCTCCTACCATATGTAAAAGCAAAAAGTTATATAAATCATAGAAATTAAAACTTTTGTGAGCCATGATGAAAATTTTCATGTTTACAAGTCATACTTTTTTTTTTAAATCACTGTATATATATATATATATATATATATATATTAGAATTTAATACTTTTATACTTAACATATAATTAGAATTAGAAAAGAGAACATGATAAGTGAAAAATTTTCCCTCGGAGTGCTTAACAGATCAGTTGGGAAAGTTGTTCGTCTCTAGGTAGACTATTATTACTCTACTTTTAGATTTCAATTTCATCATTTGTGTAAGGAATTTTGTTATTTTATTTTATTAGGTTTGTTACAAACAAATGATGTACCACGACGAGCTTGAAAGAAGGAATACAATGAAAGGATAAGAAGACCAAGATAAAAAAGTCTAATTTTCAAGAGTTGTGTTATTTCATAGGATAGAATCCGGGTTGTTGTCGGTGGGGCCCGACCACTCTTTTCAGCATTTTGGGTT